TTGCAGAGGAGCCAACCTATCAACAAACAAGTTGAATAGCTCAAGTGGTTAGAGCGTTGACCTAACATCACAAAGGTCTCAGGTTCGAGTAGAAGAAAATGCAAAGTGTAAAAACACACACATCGTGGGGCCCATCTCGGGCAGGCTCACTCACTCCTCCACGCCGTCGTCGTGTGCCGACATCTCCATCACCGCCGCCACGAAGAGGGCGTCAAGTTATCGTTGAGCGGGTGATTAGGGAGACAACGACTGCCGTCGTTCAGTATCCAATATTGACAAAGTCCAATTATAACGAATGGATCTTGTTGATGCGCGTCAACCTACAAGCGCAAGGGTTATGGCATGCTGTTGAGCCAGAGGAAGGAGAAACGATTGAGTACCGTGAGGATCGGTTGCCGTTTGCCGCCATATTACGATCTGTGCCCCCAGAGATGCTGGCATCTCTCTCCACCAAGCGCACCGCGCAATCGGCCTGGGAGGGAATCAAATCCCGTCGGGTCGGTGTACAGCGAGTGCGGGAATCCAACATCGAGCAGTTGCGGAAGGAGCTCTCGGAGATCCACTTTAAGGACGGTGAATCCGTCGATGATTTTTCAATGCGGATCACGGGGCTAGCCAACAACATCACCACACTCGGTGGCAGCATCAGCGAGACAGAAATTGTGAAGAAGATGCTGCAGGTTGTCCCTGATCACCTCGAGCAAGTTGCGATTTCAATCGAGACATTGCTTGACGTGAACGACCTAACGGTAGAAGAGGTGACCGGAAGACTGCGTAACGTCGAGCAGCGGAAGAAAAATACCATTTCAGCTGTCGACAAGGGGGGTCGTCTACTCCTCACAGAGGAGGAATGGCTTGCACGTCTAAAGCTCCGTGACAACACCGGCCAGAGCAACGGGTCCTCCTCCAGCCGCAAAGACGGTAAGAAGCCATGGATCTCCCACGGGCGCATGCGCAGGAAAGATGGGAATCAAAAGAAGGAGTCGACCAATGGCAGGCCAATCTGCTCGAACTGTGGGAAGAGAGGACACCTAAGCAGGAATTGCTGGAGCAAGCTTAGGAACAAGGAGAAGGCCGAAAAGGCCCATGTGGCTCAATCCGAGGAGGACGAGCCAGCTCTCTTCATGGTAAGTGCATGTGTCCCCGCTATCGATTCCAAATCCACGGAAATGGAGGTAATCAACAACGATGTTGAACTCGAGAAAGAGCTCCAGCTGGGTGTAGCAAAGGTGGCACCAGCTAGGGAGCCAATTCAACTGGAGGAGGAGCGAGTGTTCGCTCAGATCAGCGAGCGGGACGAGCAACACAAGGACCGGCGATGGATCCTAGACACAGGGGCAACAAACCATATGACCGGGGCTAGATCTGCATTCTCCGAACTCGACTCGGGGATCCGCGGGACGGTGAAATTCGGCGACGGATCCATCGTAGAGATCGAAGGACGCGGCACCATCCTATTCGCCAGCAAGGGAGGCGAGCATCGCAAGCTGACCGACGTCTACTTCATCCCGAGGCTCAAGGCTAACCTTGTGAGCCTGGGTCAACTCGATGAGACAGGCTGTTTCATCTCCATCGAGCGCGGACTACTCAAAATTTGCGATAATCAACGACGGCTGCTCACACAGGCAAGGCGCACGACAAACCGTCTTTACATCCTGGAGTTAGAGATAGAGCAACCTGTCAGTCTCTCGGCCAAGATCGAAGAGGTATCTTGGAGGTGGCACGCAAGGTACGGGCATTTAAACTTTCCTGCTCTAGAAAAACTACAGAAGGAGGAGTTAGTGCACGGTTTGCCAGCAATCAAAGGCGTGAACAAGCTGTGCGACGGGTGCCTCATCGGCAAACAGAGGCGCACACCCTTTCCGTCTCGAACATCCTATCGAGCCGATGAGCCGTTGGAGCTTGTACACGGCGATATCTGCGGGCCCATCAAGCCGGCGACCCCAGGCGGTAAGAGTTTCTTCCTCCTATTAGTCGATGACAAAAGCCGCTTCATGTGGCTGACCCTGCTGCAAGCGAAAAGTGAGGCGGCAGAGGCGGTTAAGTGCATTAAAGCGCGAGCGGAGGCCGAATGTGAGAAGAAGATGCGAGTGCTGCGCACAGACCGAGGCGGAGAATTCACCTCGACAAGTTTCGGTAAGTACTGTGACGAAATCGGCATACAACGGCACCTAACGGCGCCCTACTCCCCCCAACAGAACGGAGTGGTGGAGCGCCGGAATCAGACCATCGTCGGGACAGCAAGGTCATTGTTGGTGACGGCCGGGATGCCTGGGAGATTCTGGGGAGAGGCAGTAATGACGGCCGTATATCTCCTCAATCGGTCACCAACCCGAAGCCTTGACGGGAAGACACCATATGAGGCCTGGTACAACAAAAAACCAGCGGTACATCATTTTCGCGTGTTCGGCTGCGTCGCTTACATGAAGGTAACACGTCCCCACCTCGCCAAGCTCGATCCTAGACGGCCGTATATCTCCTCAATCGGTCACCAACCCGAAGCCTTGACGGGAAGACACCATATGAGGCCTGGTACAACAAAAAACCAGCGGTACATCATTTTCGCGTGTTCGGCTGCGTCGCTTACATGAAGGTAACACGTCCCCACCTCGCCAAGCTCGATCCTAGGGGGCTAAAGGTCGTTTTTATCGGCTATGAACCCGGGAGCAAGGCGTACAGACTATATGATCCTGTAGGGGGGCGAGCTCACGTGTCACGCGACGTCGTCTTCGACGAAAGCACCTTCTGGCAGTGGAATGACGTGAACGAGGCAGACCATAATCCAAATCAATTCACGGTGGAGTACCTCGTCACTGAGCCGGAAGAAGGAGGAGCCCAGCATCAGCAGCCGTCACCGCCGCCAGCAGGTGCAACCCCTGAACCAGTGGAATTCGCAACACCACGGACTGCGGATTCGACGCTGGATGCCGATCACGATACTGATCTGGAGGCCAGGTACCGGAGGATGGACGACCTAGTAGGAGGAGGTGAACCACCTGGACTGGCAGTGCGCGAGCTCGAGGAAGTGGCCGAACTACATGCCATCAGTGCAGATGAACCGAACACCTTCGCCGAAGCAGAAAAGAACCCGTGCTGGCTGAAGGCAATGCAGGAGGAGATGACATCCATCACCGAAAATCAGACGTGGAGTCTGGAGGATATGCCGCCGGGACACCAAGCCATAGGGCTCAAATGGGTCTTCAAACTGAAGCGCAACGAAAAAGGAGAAGTTGTGAAACACAAGGCCCGTCTGGTAGCGAAGGGCTACGTCCAGAAGCAAGGAGTGGACTTCGAAGAGGTATTTGCGCCAGTGGCAAGGTTAGAATCCGTTCGTTTCTTACTTGCAATTGCAGCACATTACTCTTGGGAGGTTCACCATATGGACGTAAAGTCTGCTTTCCTTAACGGAGAGCTGAAGGAGACTGTTTATGTCCGACAACCACCTGGCTTCCTGGATAACAACAACCCCAATAAAGTATTGCGCCTGCACAAGGCACTCTACGGGCTTCGACAAGCTCCACGAGCCTGGAACGCGAAGCTCGACAGTACCTTACTGTCACTGAAATTCAAACGTTGCGCCTCTGAGCATGGCATGTACACGCACGGCCATGACACGAAGCGACTAATCGTGGGAGTGTACGTCGACGACCTCATAATTACTGGAGGTGACATGGAAGTCCTCGGAAGGTTCAAGAAGGAGATGTCGAAAAACTTCGAGATGAGCGATCTCGGCGTGCTCAGCTACTATCTCGGGATCGAAGTGCAACAGAATTCTACCGGCATCTCCATCTGCCAAAGTGCATACGCAAAGAAGCTGCTGGACACAACTGGACTTGTGGACAGTAATCCTACAAGGACGCCAATGGAGGCCCGACTCCAACTAAGGAAGGCTGGCACTACGACGACAGTCGACTCCACCAATTACCGCAGCATTGTCGGGAGTCTACGCTATCTGGTAAACTCTCGTCCTGATCTTGCTTATTCTGTTGGATATGTGAGCCGGTTTATGGAAGCACCTAGGGAGGAGCATTTAGCGGCTGTCAAGCGCATCCTGCGCTATGTAGCCGGAACCAGAGGCTGGGGTGTAAGATACTGCGCAGGGAGCGGAAAGGAGAAACTCAAGCTAGTTGGCTACAGTGATAGTGACATGGCCGGTGACGTTGATGATCGTAAGAGCACTAGCGGAATGATCTACTTTCTCTCAGGCGGCGCAATCTGCTGGCAATCAACAAAACAGAAGGTAGTTGCTTTGTCTTCCTGTGAAGCAGAATACATCGCCGCTTCGATGGCAGCAACACAAGGGATCTGGCTTGCGCGACTAATGGAAGAACTCATCGGGAGAGAAAGTGATCCACCAATGCTATACGTAGACAACAAAGCTACGATCTCCCTGATCAAAAATCCAGTTTTGCATGAACGAAGCAAGCACATAGAAATCAGGTTCCACTACATTCGAGAATGTGCAGATCGAGGGCTCATCAAAATTGATTACATCCGAACAGAGGAACAACTTGGAGACATCTTCACCAAGTCCCTGGCGCGGGTGAAATTTGAAGAACTACGCTCAAAGATCGGAGTTCAAATAGTAAGGTAGATATACTACAGGTTTTAGGAGGAGATTGTTAGATAAAACCTGAGTTTTACCGTTGTTATTCACACGATTTCAGAAAATCGTGAGGTTGACCATTTGACAAATCACGTCGAATGGATCACCAGAGTTTTAGAAGGGAGTGGCACAGATTTAGTTGGCCACTCTCCAAGCCAATTTTAGAATTCCTTTTTTACTTTAAATAGGAGAATTGTTCAGAAAACAAAACAACCTCAACGCAGTCAAATTCAGAGTTATTTTTTCTCTCTCCTTTTTGTTACGCATTTTCTGAATTTCCTCTCACCGAAATTCTGTGAAAACCAACATACAGAGACAGTGACATGTTTTTTTTTTGTTGTTGTTGTATGTTTTTTGTGGCATTTAAGGGTACAGAGAGTGGTTAAAAAACTGATGCAAGAAAGTGACAAATATTTAACGTTTTTCACAGAAATGTAGGAGATGCAAAATGAACATCATCATTGATGGTAAAAAGGAAAGGTGATTAAGGAATCTTCTCTCTCTAACCCACCATTTTCAGTCAAATAGAAATCTCTCTCAAACCGCTTAGGTTTAGTTCGATTCAGTTCGAATGGCTTCTCGGGTATTTTAGTTCTTTGAAGCTTTAAGCAACCTTGCAAGAACACGTTCTAAAGAAAGTAGATAATAAGAGAATTAGTGACGACCCTTCTACAAAGTGTGTAACCGCTCAAGATTACTGCTAACAGATATTGTCCACTATTAGTAAGAGATTTCTACTCTTATAAATAATGTTTCGTTCTCCTCTTCAACCGATGTGAGACCTCACAATCCACCCTTTAGGGGCCCAACGTTCTCGCTAACATACTGCCCAGTGACTAGCTGTGATACCATTTGTAACAGTCCAAGCCCTAGCTTGTTGCATATCGCCGTTAACCTCACAATTTTATAAGGAATGGTTTGTTCTCCTCTCCAACATTTCGACGTGGGATTTCACAGGTGGGTCTTGCAGCCAAGCTCGCGTTCTAGTTTTGCACTCGAGGGGTAATCTCCGCCTAGCTCGAGAAAACCTGAAAGTAGAGAAGAAAGAAAATTAGGGTGACCATAAAGGTGACGAATAGAGAGTTGAGGGATATTTAGGGCCTAGAAATGCCATGTTCTCCCACAGCTTTCATGAACTTCCAAAGGGTTTTTACTTTGCATAGAAATGATTGAGAAGATGAATGAAAAAAGAGGAAGAAAGTTCAAGAAAGCTGTGGAAAAGCATGGCTAGGACCTCTAGCTCGCTTTGAAAGAAGACATTTACAAGAATGTCTTTGTTGAGAGGAAGACGATGAAAGAATGGGTTAGAAAGGCCATAATATGGACCACTCTATACCAAATTATACAATTTTCTTCCCAACTTTATATAGACGAGGAGAGATGGTGGGATCTAACTTAACCTACGTCTTCTCTTCTCGAGCATCGTGTCTAGTACGCTCTTTGGAATTTGAATTTTTCGATGTTGTGTAGAGTAATTTGAGAGACCCATCATCGAATATAATTGATGAAAGTTTAAAGACTTACTAGCCATAAGATTGAAATCTTTTAAATTAAAAAAAAAAAACATAGAATAAGACACGATCTTGAAAGTTCGTAGATTGAACGTGTAGTTTAAGCGGGAATTGATATAAGAATCATAGAGACAAACAAAGTTCATCCTTTTGCCCACATGCTAACATGTGATCCTCAAATCTCATCTTTTATTTTAAAGTCATTTATGTGTATGCCAAATTATTCCAATTGGGTATCACAGATCCAATCCTCTTAAAAATAATTTGTAAAAGAACATCCAACCACTTCCAAAATCAATATGAAGTGTGTGTATATATATATATATATATATTGCATTTTGGACCCTTTCTTGTTGGATTTGTGTGAATTATTGTAGAGTATTGGTAAAGTTGTAAATATGCTAGGAGGCTAGCTATTATTGTAAATCTAATTTCGTAGCAACGGATCTGGGATCGAACCGAGCGAAGAATAAAAGAGAGGGCAATAGATGCCCTCTAAGCCATGACGATTAGTGTACGTTGTCACAATCGCACTTTTGTGGTAGTAGGACAGCAATTGTGCGGCACTGTTTTAACCCAGCGTACAAGTCGGCTATGAAAAATTTGGACTTTGTAGATACCGTTAGCGTATGCTCGAGCCTCGAGTCATGTTTGAGAGAAATGTTTTAGAAAACTTGAGCGAGGAAATACGTTGAAAACAATTTGAAAGAAAACAATCTTATAAGCTAAAAGAGATTAGACACTAACAACGATTTTGATAGCATATAACCCGAGTAAGAAGAAGTAACGACTAGTCATATCCTCATATAGTATATTTTGAGGCATTTTAATTATGATGGGTGTAGACATGATTTTGGTAACTGGTCATACACCTTTGTGTTGACACAACATGAAATAATAAAAGTCAATCTAAGATAAAAGCACGGAAAAGGGATTTGGAATAGGCATGCGACCATAGACAACGCGTCTTGGACAAATATGACTGAGACATCCAATATGCGGTCATAGACGACACGCTTTGAACAAACATAACCGCGACATACGTGACTTGAACATGCAATACTAAGAAGTTTTCTATAAACAATAAATAATTGTTAGTTTGAACACTTGGTTATGATAATCATTCGTCTCGAGATGTAAAGTTGAATGTAATGAAAAAGATGTCTAGTGGCTAGTAAGTTTCACCGTGTTAAACCCGATCAAAAAGTTCGAGTTTACGTTGCATATATTTAGATTTTCACTTTTTTTTTTTTTTTTTTACCGTTGACACGCTCTAACGGTGGAAATTCAAACTTTAGATCTTTAGATAAAAAATATCGTACCAATAGGTTCGAAATTTAAAAAATGGCCATAAGCAAAAGAAAACAAAATATAGTAATAATTCATATTTTCTCTCCCCAACGTTGAAGAAAAGGTGAGTGTGACCCTTTTAACCCTAAAATCAAATAAAGACAACTTTTTTTGGACTTATGTCTTGCTAAGCTTCACATATATGAAATGCATAATGTACTATATAACAATAATACGATTATTTTATCGAGCGTTTTTATTGCAACCCATATTTAGGGTGCGTTTTGTAATGAACCCAATTTATAAAAAAAAAAATTGCACGTATGATCGGATCCATTCGAATTCCAATAATGATTCTCACAAAGTTAAATGAAAATTTTTAAAGTTACGGTATTTAAATTTTGAATGTTTAAAAAATAGTAAAAATAAATAAATGAAAGGACGAGAACAGCTAGAATGAGAGAATGAGAATGATATTTTTCACTCTTCTTGAATTACAACCTACCAAAATAAAACATATTTACAATTTGTAAACGTGCCAACTCTGACTCTTCTCGTACGTTTTAAAGGATTGAGTACTAAAAATGGATTACTCAAGTGGTAGGATGCCCTCTTCGTACGTGCATTTCATCAAATTAATGCATAATTTGACGGTTTCATTGAAACCCAAAAAAAATATGACTCTTAAAAAGCGTTTAGTAAACATATTCTGATGCATAATTTATTTTTATTTAAAACTTTAATTTTTTTTTTTTTAATTCAGTGAAAGATATAATATAAAAAAAATGGAAGAAAATAAATCTAAATTTAAAAAAAAAAAAACAAAAAAAACAAAAATCGTTATATAATTCAAATTTTTAGGTTTTAAATGATATGGTGAAAATAAAAAGTATTGGAGATATTTTTATAAATATATTTTAGTGTGTGTGGATGAAATTTTCTTTAATTTTATGGGGTTTTTTATATAAAAAAAAATTAATTTTAGTAGGTAAAAATATATTAAAAAAGGAAAATAAGTGAATTATTTGAAGGCAGAAGAAGACAAAAACAGAAAGAGACAAATTTGTGTGTCACTTCTTTCATATCTCACAGTACTGGCGAAAAAATCCACGTCCATGGGCCACCTTTACAGCCCACATTGGAGGGCCCATTTCCTCAACAGTCTCATCCTCTGGCCCACATATATTTGGGCTGCTCTTTAAATGTCCACTTTTTTTGTCCTTACATGAGCCATCCTCAATTTTTTTTTAAAATATTTAATAAATACGTGTTAAATAAATTTGTAATTTAAAATAATACTAATAATATTGATGGAGGAGGGACCATGGCAAGGAGGTGTACGTAACAGCATGTGATAAAAAGTTAACAGAATAATTAAAGGTTGTTGAACCGGATCGGTTTTGCATCATTGGACCGTCACTTTCAAGCGTGGCCTGTCTCTTCTTCAGTCCCCCCCCCCCCTAATTATTAATTATTACTTATTTTTTTAAAAATTAAATTACAAATTTACGTAACGGGTGCTCGATCGAGCTGTCACTAATCAGTACCGCTCAATGGCCAACGAGTTCGTCAACTAGATCAAAATCTTATCGTTCTCGAGCTCTCGAGACTTTTTATATCGATCAAGTCAAATGATACGTTAATTTAACCTCCCCCTCTAGCTATTTTCATTATTTATTAAATATTTAAATAATAATATTAAAAAAGAAAATAAATAAATAAAGGTTTTTTCTTTGTACGGACTCCAAATTCCCAGCAAAAACAGAGAATCACAAGTGAGGCCCAAAATTCGTTGTATTTATCGGATTGGGCCTTCGGATCTGAAAATAACAAAAATACAATATTAGAAGCCCATGGGCCCAACATGATGGGCCCAACATGAATAACGTTCCTTTTGGGTTAACAACTTAAATAGCTTTTTGATTACGCGTTTTGAAAAAATTGCATATATATATATTTATTATTGAAAAAATTACCAAACGTAGTTTTCTTATTATTAAATAAAATTTATGAAAAGACTAAAATACCCATGAACGTATATTCTGGCTATTAAATTTAATTTAAAAAATTGTTGCAATTTTTACGGTTATTTATAAATTTTGGTAAAATTATTTTACATGGATCAAATTTAATACTAAGTTTTTTTTTATTTAATATTACCAAGTAGTTTATTTTTGGTGATCAAATTGAAACAAGGAATTAATAATAATTTATTTTACCGAATTATTTAATTTGGTCTAATATCGATATAATTATATTGTTAAGTAAAAGGTTCGAATCTCTACGTACCTATATGAATATTTAATATGATTTATTTACTTGGTTTTTGGGGTAGATTTGTCATTTTCTCGAATTTTTTTTATCGAGTTCATGTTATTGTCGTTGAATTAGGTATATGATTTTTTTTTTTTTTCACTTTTGACCGAAAAATGGGAGAAGAAAAGGCTTAACATTTAAGATTTCTTCAAGTTCTTCCTTCTTCGTGCAACCTAACATAACCTAGCGAAAGGTGTATCAAATTCAAAGTCTTGAATATTTATAGCTCAAACTTTCATGTCAAATAACTCTTAAAGCTCATCAGCTATGATAATAACGTTATAATGACATCTTAATGTATAAACTTCTAAGAGATAAGAACTCGATGGGTTAACGTTAATTATGTTTTATTATTCATATTATTAATATTTAATATTTATTTCATTTTTATCGAAATAACGTTTCTGGACACTAGAGGTCAACTCTTTGAGGTGAAGCCAAGAGTTTGACTATTTCGATGGAGAAGTTGGACATTCCAAAGGAAAACACAACAACAAAGACAAGATAAAGGAGGCTAATCTGTCGAGTTGACAAAGAACTGAGCCTCAAGGGCTGAGGTACAAGCATGTAGGATACGAAAATCTATTACTTAGAGATGAGACTAGCGACAAAAACAAGACAAATCCAACTTCATTGGGTTAGCCATAACCTAGAGGAACGCCCACATGAGGGTTATCGAGACCTAAGAGGTCGACCCCACATAGGGTCGGGTGTAACCCAAATGAAATAAACCACCTCGAGGGATAGTTAAGTGTTTATATGTTACTTGCTTCCAAATGGCACTCATATATTCATTTCAATTTCATATGTGCATACCATTAATTTTTAAGTTAGCCTTCCTTTTCAACGTATATATTATAAAGATAATGAAAGGACGCTTAAAATGGTTGAAATTTAAAAAAGATGAAAAATTGTATATGCGCGTCCTTCTCTATCTCCATAGTAATCTCATTCTAAGACGGTTTGAATAAGCTAATTTATTATATAATTCGATTAAAGTCATATAAGATTAAAAAAAAATTAACTCATTAGGGTTTTTTTTATTAGGAGATAATTCAATTTTTTTTACCTTTTCACCAATAACTAACCTGGCTGTTCTCCACCTTTGACCTTTTAGTCAATAATATAATGCTTTAACTATCTGCGTAATCTATCTTTGTAGAAATCTTAGGCGGTAAGGCTATTTGGGGTATATCAACGATATAGAAGTTCTTGGTTACGACCCTAAAGAGGATCTCAACCGATAACGAAGAATTCTTTCTAGAACTCTCTCTAATTGATCTCTTACAGGTTTTCTTTCAAAATTGTATATGCGCGTCCACAAGTGTTAACAATACGTTCGAGTTATAACAAGAAATATTTAAGATTCTCAGACTAGCAATCTCCATGGTTTCATGTGTTATGTTTCAGTCCAATAACTTTCAAAATTGTTACATTTTGGTCACTGAACTTTAATTAAATTACTATATTGCTCCCAAACTTTGAAAACGTTAATAAACTTCAAAAAAGAAATGAACCCTTTTATTTACGTCAAACATTGATTAATTGGTTGTGGTGTGTGGAGGAATCATTTTCATATTTAAAAGACTTTGAAGCACGATCACGCAATGACACCATTTTTTGTTTACAATTTTCAGCGACAAAATGGAGTTTTAAATAAAAAGAAACAATACCCACCACGCGGTTTGTGGGATCCAAAAAGCAGATTTGGCGTTTCAAAACCGCGTTTCTTTCAATTCCTTTCCCCCTTTTCATCGTTCTTTAAAACCCTTCTCTTCAAATCCCTCCTTCTCTGCACCTTCCTCCTCCTCCAACAATGGAATCCGTGATGAACCTTCTGTTCTTGGCGGTTTTGTTCGTTGCTGGGTTTGTCAATTTCCTCATGTATTTCCCCACCAAGAGATTCACCGCTTGGTTCCAATCTATAAAACCCTCTCCCCAATCTGTCCATTTCAAACCCACCGCCGTTCCTCCGCCGTCTCCGGCGCCGGAAAAGAAGAAATCAGAGATGAAGAAGGTGTTTGGGACATTTGACAAGAACAACGATGGGTTCATAACGAAGAAGGAGCTGATGGAATCGCTGAAGAACATGAGTATGATGATTACAGAGAGGGAAGCAGAGGAAATGGTGAAAGGGGTGGATGAAAATGGAGATGGGTTGATTGATTTTGAGGAGTTTTGTGTTTTGGGGGAGAAATTAGTGGTGGGTTTTGAAGAAAAACAGAGGAGGATCGAAGATGAAGATGAAGATGAACTGAGAGAGGCTTTTGGAGTGTTTGATAAGGACAAAGATGGAGTGATATCAGTGGAGGAATTGGGTTTGGTGCTGTCTTGTTTGGGGATGAATGAAGGGAAGAAACTTGAGAATTGTAAGGAAATGATCAAGAAAGTGGATTTGGATGGGGATGGAATGGTGAATTTTGATGAGTTTAAGAGGATGATGAGAAGTGGAACAACTCTGGTTTTCAATTGATTATGGACTTCTTACTCTATTTCTACACTAAATTTGTTCATATGCTTTGCCTTTTCATTTCAAATTCTCTTAGAACAACACATTTTCTACTGATTTCTTCTGTAAATTTGTGCCTCTCCCTCTATGATATGAAGTGTATGGTAGGATCAAGTATACATGATATTGTCGACTTTGGACATAAGTTAGTTTGTGTTCGTGTCGATGATTCCTATCAAGCCAAAGAGCTGTTTGGTGATTCCTAGGTTGCAGCACCTCTGATCGTTAGCTCTTCGTATTGTTGTATCGCTTCTAGGACCGATTGACCAACATTGGAGACATTCTTTTCATGGATTCTATCCACACAGACAAGTCGGAAGTAGGACTTTGATATCACTAGTTAGGGTTGTTAGAATTACCTACAAATTTTCCTAATCTCATGATCATATGATATAATGTTCTCTATTTTGAAGAGAAGCTTTCGTTATTTTGTTTTAAGAATCTTTCGATTTAATGAGTGATTTTTTTATTTGTGTCTTCTTTTACCAAAGATTTATGTTCGTTTTCTATAATTCTTTGTATGATATAAAAAATATTCTATAAACCTTTTTAATGGAATTTATAATTATTATTTAACTAGCAACAATTTAGTTTTAAGTTCCATTAAAAAATATTTTAACTCACTGATAAGTATATTTTTAATAATTTTTTTTAGAAAAATATGTATAATAATATAAAAAAATATTTTGGAAATGTATTATTAACAATTTGTGAATAAAAAATGAACGTAACGACAAATTGATTTTAATCGTTTTTATAACAATAGTTGATAAATAACTATAAGACTCGGTTTCTAATAATTTAACATGCTTGAAATCTTTTTTTTTATTTCGAGAGAAGACTTGGTATCGTTTGTTTAGTTCCACTAGGCACTCTAAAGTCTTGATATAAATAGTACAGAGCTCGAGATCAGATCAAAGCCATAAATCTAAAGTTAATATCAACTAATAAGTTAAAATTAATTTATTTCTAGAGGAGTTTCATAAAAAAAATTAAAAAAATATATAATTTAAGTTTTTGGAAGTGGGGACTAAATAAACTTCTTTTAATCATTAAAAGTATGGAAAATGCAATTTTAACTTATTAATTTTTGGGTGGGAATTAGATACTTCTAAAAGAATTGATTCAGAAAGTTTTTTTTTTTTTTTTTTTTTTTTGTCGAAGTTATTAGAGACATTACTCAAATCAAGCCAATTACTTTATATATATATTCACATGTCAAGTCAGGAGTTGGNAAATTTTTTTTTTTTTTTTTTTTTTTTTTCTGTCGAAGTTATTAGAGACATTACTCAAATCAAGCCAATTACTTTATATATATATTCACATGTCAAGTCAGGAGTTGGTGTACTGAACCTAAAGACAGAAAAATCCAACCTTAAATAAGTAATTAAATAGCTATATCTTTTTCTCTTTCTCTCTCTACCTCTAATGAAAAAATAATTTTATTAAGCAATTAACAGTAGCTAAAACGATAATTAACATTTGCTACCTTAGAGTTACTTTCAAACCCGAGATATAATTTTATGGTAACATTATTAATTAAGAAGATGCTAAAAACCTGTTATGAATGACTTTTCAAGTATTTAAAATACGATTTTAAAGTAATTTTAAACATGTTCTAATGCACTAACTCGTAACGGGTGAGTTACCTTACAATTTCAAACCGCTGCCCGAAATATATCTTTGCCACGTTTGTGGTGCTGTCCAGATGAGAATTTCTTTTACCAAACAGCATCATAAGGTTGCTGTATACAGTTAAAAAGGCAAAAGCCATTGATGAAGCATGGTATAAAGATCACCCTACTGCTTTATGAAAATCACGCATCAGTGGGCTATGGTTGTGTGCTCAAAAGTGAAAGGATCCTAGGCATTATAGAGCATAATTGGTAGAACAGGAATGAACTAGGTGCATTGCTGTCATGAGAAGGTGGGGAGAGCATATTTCAATCTAGAATGGGGTATCCGAAAAAGTAGATATTTAGATAAGCATATGAAAGAAAGTAGTGAAACTTTTCAATCGAAATGTTATTCTGTGTATTCCAATCAGCTTCGAACTATAATCAGGTAATGAAAACACAAAATATATATATATATATATATATATATATATATATATCTATATATATATCTATATATATCTATGAGAATCAAATTTAGTCAAATAACAGGATAGAAACAACAAAAAGAAGAAAAAAAGGAATTAATCACTGTACTGAAAGATGGAAAAGTAGATGCCTCGACTCTTTTATACCTTCTAGATAAAAAAGAGGAACCCACAAACATGCTACTGATTGAAGTTCAGGTTGATCATCTTACTATTTTGATAGAATAGAAGTCTTGTGAGAATCGAGTTTACCGCGGTTTCATTGTGGCGATGCCTGATTAGAAAACATCAGGGTGGAAACGACCTGGAATGGAGCTACTTTGTTGAGCTTGCTTGAGATGCACTGTAAGTGCATAGTTATTCACCTAGTTCATTAAAAGATGCAAGAGATATCAGACTATAAGTATGCGTGAAACCATGAAGTATTGTGTTAATGATTTTTAGTAAGGAAGGAAGCAAGATCTTAAGCATTTATGGAACCAACCTCAAGGGTTTTCAATTGTTCCTGGTATTGAGAGACTAATTCCTTAAGATGTTGCAACTCCTGGTTCCCGCCTTCATATTCTTTCTGACGTTCGTGCTGGATTGAGACAGCTCGTTTGAGAATATTGTTTTCCTGAATAAGAGCTTCCACTTGTTCCCTAAGCATCTTGTTTTCCTAAAATTAAATAAACGAGATAAAAATCACGAACATTGTAGTGGCAGATCATTGGTGCATAAACAAAGAGCAGAAATTGTAAAAGTTCCAAAACCTGATGAAAGTTATTTGCTGCCTCTGCATTTGCACGGGCACAGATGGACTTTTCAAGAACCTCAAGAACTCTTGAAGCACGGCTTCGTGCATCATCCATGTTCGAGGCACTTGTCATTTCTCTCACAAAGAGATCCACCCATTCTGCCCCATTTGTGGGAAGATTCTCAGAAGCTGTTGCATTCTCAGAAATTGCAGCTTCTCCTTGCGGTTCTGCTTCATCTTAAACGAAAAGATAAAATTCATTAGATGCACCTAACAACTGGATCTAAAGGCATCATCAGAAGAAGCTTGAAGATGAAATTGGCAAGCATCCTTCAAACTGTTTTTATTAATAATCTGTTTTAAATGCATTGGAGATTCCAATTTGAGGAGCGAATATGCAAGCGCTCATACAGAATCTTTTGAATTGTTTAGGTTTTGACATAAACTGAAGGTATCTCGTAGCCTCCATGAAATGCAGCCAAGCAAACAGTTCAAGTTAGTATGGTCGTACATTGAGAGAATAGGTCAGTGTCTCTCAAAAGAAAAATCAACTCTAAAAGGCACAAATATGACGGGGGGGGGGGAAAGGATTTCTACTCAGGTAAACAAGGAATTAAGAGATCGACAAAGGGGAATATTACAGTGTACTCTTCCCCATGGGCGTAAGCAGATAAGGAGTTGGCTTGATGTCAAATTCCGGGAGGAGGGAAGAAACATCGTGTTGAATGAAAGGATTATTACGAAAGGGAAGGAGGCGAACAAGGGGTGCACTCCATGTCAAATGGAAGTTACAGAAAAGTGCTCCAATCCACTGAACTCAGAAACAATGAAACATCATATAGAAATCAATTTGTAGAAAAGGCTAAAAAAGAAATACATTCCTAAAATTGATTGGCAGCAAACTAACTTCCACCAACAAAAATCGAAGAAGGTTTTCCATGAATAATGTTGGGAATTTCATTATTTATTCTAATTGCAAGAATCTGCCTCTGCTAAAAAGGAACATAAACGAAAACCTTCTATATAAGACAACGTCAACAGAACTGAGGAAGCTCTGCATGACTTCACCAAGGTAGATCCTAGGCACTCTCTGATGCCAATCCAAGCAGACTGAAGTAAGTAACCAGACTTCCTCACCAGTCAATGTCCTAATGCCCTAAAAACGCTTAACTGGCCCATATTTTGGTAAGAAAATAGAAGATAACTCATTTCACATGGCTATTTTTGTGAGATCCCACGTCGATCGGAGAGGGGAACAAAGCATTCTTTATAAGGGTGTGGAAATCTCTTCCTAGCAGAAGCGCTTTAAAACTTTGAGGGGAAGCCTGGAAGGGAAAGACCAAAGAGGATAATATCTACTAGAGCTTTGGCTGTTACAAATAGTATCAGAGCCAAACACCGGACGAGTGCCAATGTGGACGCTGGACCCCAAAGGGAGGTGGATTGTAAGATCCCACATCGATTGTAGAGGGGAACAAAACACTCTTTATAAGGGTGTGGAAACCTCTCCCTAACAGACGCGTTTTAAAACCTTGAGGGGAAGCCCAGAAAAGAAAGTCCAAAGAGAATAATATTGGCTAGTGGTAGGCTTAGGCTGTTACAATTCTTTACTAGTTAGTTATAAATTTTGATGGAACTACTACTCCTAACCCAGGTTAAGTTGCTTCGAGGTATAGAAATGATATCAAAAGCCAGACTGCGTGGCAAATGAGACAAACCTAGCTTCACTGAGAAATGTGAAACAAAAACAAAATGCACACTCTGAGGATTGTTTGGTTCCCAGAACTCCAAACTTAGTGGAACTTAGAATTGCAACACTTAAATTTGTATAATTTGTGTACGGTTTACGCAAATGAATTTGATATAGAAGCTTGGTTCTACGTGAACCATGTTTGGTTTGTTGGCTATGTTACTAGTAAACTCACGATCCATAGTCTGTGAAAAGCAAATCCATGTGCCAAATCTAAGTTTGACTTCTCAACTTCTGGTTAAACTAATCTAAACAGCCAACCAAACACCCTTGTTATGATTTTACACAATGAATCCCTATTATTCCTTATCCTATAAAAAAGTACTTAGTCTGTACAATAAAAAGTTTATCAAGAAAATACAACACTTCAGAGAATGTCAAGAACAAAATATTGAAATCTTCTCTCGAGAAGTCGTAAAATTGACAATATTTGCTACAGAGCATTGAGAATATAATTATTAAGTCCAAGATGCAGTTCAATAGAGATCAAATACAAACCTTGGGATTGAGGTTGAATATTTGTTTCCAAAGCTACATCGGAGGTGTTTGAAGCATTGCCCAAGTTTCTGTCATTATAACCCAAATGAAGCTGGTTCAAACTTCTAATGGCTAAATCGAGATCATCACCACATTCTTCAAGTACCCTCTCTAGAAGCTAGAATAACAATTTAAAAGCAATCAGTATGTATTCATGTATTCATTCCCTCGAATTATAAAGCAAAAAGTCTTTCATCAGAAATGTCTTCAAATAACATCAATACGTGAAGTTCGCAAAATGATCAACCATTTCGAATTTATAATTCCTCATCCTAAACAGACCTGCTTATCCATATCAGGAAAATTTTCGCAGAGATAATCGACTAAATGAGCCGATTGTGAGGAGGACGTCTGGGGGAACGGAAACACAGATTGATTGGATGACCTCGGAGGCGAAAACCGCACAGGCGAAGAAGATGAACAACGAATTCTTTTAGAGACGGGATGCGGAGGCAGGTCTTCAAATAAGGATCTCTTCCCGCACACGATGGCAGACATGTTTCAGCGCCGCTGCTCAGCTTCCTCTATTCTTCAAGTGCTCGATCCGCACCCAAACCTTCAATCCAATTCATGCAGCAAAACCACCGGATCCAAACTAAAACATCTTCAACAATATTCCAATTCAATAGAAGAAAAAAAACGCAGAGAAAACGATCGAATTAGGATAAAATCCTCAAGATCTCATCCACCAAAAACAAAATTAATTACAACAAACTCAATTCCAAGGGATTTCAGATGGAAAACGAATCAGGAAAGATAGAAATTCTTAGCATTTGAAGCTCTAAAACTTCGGCTCATCTTCGTTCATGGCTACGAAGAGTCCGATCGTCATCTGCATATTCTCACCAACGAGATTAAAAGAACAAGCAATTCAGAAACGACACGTCGTACGAAGAAAAAGAAGGCCTTTGAAAATTTCTCCAATGCATGACACGTGCTCGTTGTTTATTGGTTCATTTCACATTGTGGATGTTGCTGCTTGTATGAATCTGAACGTTCGTTCTCTACGGGACTCGAAAGAAAATGAATATAAATTATATAATTAATAAAATAAGTAAATATTATTACTTTTTTAATTGGGTCATTTTTTTTTTAATATTATTGAATTCTAAAGAAGCCTTTTCATTTGGGCCTTTTAGGAATAAGAGGAATGGGCTGGACTAGTTTAGGCCCAACCCAAGTTTGAGTTTCTCTAATATGACTATACTATTAGGTAATTCTGTAATTCTACCGATTTGAGCCCGTTAACTATGGTTGTGAGCCTCAAGATTTTAAAACGCGTATACTATAGAGAGGTTTCTATACCCTTATAAAGAATGTTTCATTCTTCTTGCCAACCAATGTGGGATCTCACAATCTGACCCTCTTAGGAGCCTAACGTCCTCGCTACCACACTGTCTGGTGTCTGGCTCTCATACCATTTATAACCGCCCAAGTCCACCCCTAATAGATATTGTCTGTTGTTTTATCCCGTTATGCTAGGGAAAGGTTTCCATGCCCTTATAAGGAATGCTTCATTTTTTTTTTCCAACTAATGTGGGATCTCACAATCCAACCCCCTTAGGAGCCGAACGTCCTCGCTAGCACACCGTCTGGTGTCTGGCTCTCATATCATTTAAAATAACCCAAGCCCATTTCTAACAAATATTATATGCTTTATCCCGTTATCTATCGTCATCAGCCTCATAGCTTTAAGTTAGGGAGAGATTTTTACACTTTTATAATGAATGTTTCGTTTCTCTCTCCAACCAATATGGATCTCACTTACATGTAATCACAGCTTATTCATAACGTAAATGATACAATTATCATAGCAATTTAATGATACATGAATAAATTTTTCAGCTGACAAGCAAGCAGAAGTGAGCACAATCTTGTTCTTATTTCCCATTGAGCTTGCAATACGCATATACGCAAGATCCCAGGAACCCAAGTGACTGCCCAACAACATTAAGCTAAGAAAAAACAACCAAAAGAAAGCTTGTCAAGTTAAAAAGGAACCAAAAAATGCATAACAAAGACTTCTAGGTAAAGAGATTGGCTTACGAAATCGTAGGGAAGACCTCCGAACAAAAACCAACCGATCCCAACTGTGAAAACGTCCTATTATTGAACGAGTACAAAAATTAAGAATCTCGAGTTCTTAGTACTAGTTTGGAATAACTTTTCAAAAAAGTCATTTCAAACCGGCCCAATACACGCGTAAAGAAAAAAACGAATAAACCGTTCATAAACTAAACAAATTTAACTTTTTTACTCTGGAACCGGAACAAAGTATTTTGTGTGAAAATTCTCTTATCATTAGTATAGAGAAGGAATTTGGGAGTATCTAATTTCAAAAATATTCTAACCGTTAGCTTAAGAACACGTATAAATTAAGCACGACTCACCTTCAAATTACCGCATACAGTTTGTGTGAGTGCTGAATTGAGAGTTGTATTTAGAAATACATAGTAGTTGATGGAGAAAGCCATTATACAGGAGAGAAGCATCACAAACTGCAAGCATTTAATGGAGTTAAAGAAATTAAGAACTAATGGTAACAGAAATGAGGAGATTTGAATGTATGACCTTAAAACAAGCCTCCCATGTTAATTATAGCTGAATTATACATAAACTATTCGAAGTGATCTCGAAATTTATGAAGAGAGGAAAGAGATGATTAACCTTCTTGTGGTTTTTTTATGGGTTGCTATCTCGAGTAACCTTCAAGTAACCTTCATTACCAACCGGGTTAGACTAACCTAACACTAAAAAAGTATAGGCTCAAAACTTGATTTTGGCCCAAATCCAAAAGACACTGTTTGAGTATTGGTCAGATCGGTCCAATATTCAATAACTTAACTCTTGGTTTAGCTCATTATCAAAGTTTGGATCGATTAAACTTTTGACTTTGAGTCAAGGTTGGATATTTGCATGTCTGGACATAAAAGAAGTTGTACATGTCATTTATGTCGTTTACTACTATTTTATATTGGGTTGTTACCTTGGGATGACCTTCATTACTGATCGGGTTAGATTGACTCAACACTAAAAAATGCAGGCTCAAAACTCAATTTTGGCCCAAATCCAGTGCACTTAAAGACACTGTTTAGGTCTTGGTCAGGTCGGTCCAATCTTCAACAACCGAACTCATGACCTAACTCTTGGCTTAGCTTATTATCAAAATTTGAATCCATCAAACGTTTAACGCTGAGTCAATATTAGATCGAGTTGAGCAAGACAATATAAACACATACCAGGAAGCCAAAGGAAAATATGTAAGAAAAATTTAATGTCGTTTCGATGTCTCCCTTGATCGTAATCCATAATAGCAAAAAGGGCCCACATATTACCCCTACAAATATAAGGAAAACATTTTCATAGCGAATTCAGACAAGATAGAAAATCAAAAAGCTTCCTCTTACCATTGCACCACATGAGACCAAAGATATTCAGACCACTCGATTTCCCTGTAAATTATCGATCATAAGTCAAATTAAATATAGCTCAGCTGGTCGTTAATATATTTATGGGTGCGTTAGAAACGACTTCTAAATACAAATAAAATAATAAAAAGTCATTCCGAATAAACCCTATATCTTTAACTAAAAGATTAGAGGTTCAAATCCCGACACTCACAAAAAAAAGAAAAGTCATTATTACCAATACGAGCAATAGAAGCAAGATATACAGCAGTAGATATATTTGCCAAAAAGACCACACCATAGGCGTAGATGTCAAATGACAAATCTCCAGCTCCAGCTACAATTGCACCGAGTATAATCATCCCCACACTGATCAATTTCCGATTTATCAGATAGGAAATGAATTAGCATCGCATATAAAAGAAAATAAGAAATATCTAATAGATTCATGAACATTTTAAATTTAGTGTCGCGTAACCTTATGAATTTAAAAAATAATTTTTTATTATTATTTACATTAGCATTTATTCTATAAAATTTAAAAATAATTATATGAAAATTATCATTTATTATTTAATAAATGTTAAACTAAAATGGTATAAAATCCAAAATAAAAAATATATCCACCAAACATGCTTACCTGGCAACGATAAACGATGAATGGGTCTGACCTGTCAACACGTACTCAGCAATCATTGTAAATACCACGGTAGTTCTCCTCAACGTTGTATACATGGGAACGTTGATCCCACGAACGGATTCCATAGTCACAAGCTTTTATCAAGGAAAACGGCGTTATTAGATTTTGGAAAGGTTATAATTTTGGTAATATTCTTATACCATGTGATACAATACCATGTAAAGCAAATATGATATGGCTAGAGGAAGTGTTTGAACCAATGTCTTATATGGTACCAAGATTGTTGACCTTCCAAAACCGACGCCTTCAGCATCGTTTACCGTGAAAGAGATGATCTTCCAATGGCGTAATGCGTATAGAAGTGTGCACGAACATATAATCTGGAGAAAATCGATCCGGGTAAGTAGCTAAATGAATGAAAATAAATGATGAAAGCTTTCTGTGAATTGGAATTAGGACCCGAATTTTTTGGGTACGTGAACTCCTTATTCACTCGACACGAAAACTCTCTTACCTGAAAAAGAGTGATGACATTGACACAGGGAAATTTGTACGAAGAAAGAGCTGCTTTGTTGAACATGAGCAACAGAACTGCACGACGGGTAGCAACACAATATCATAGTAGGTATTAGTTCATGCAAGGAAGACATACAATCATTATCTTATATATACTCGGTCATAGGTATCATTATCTAATCTATCAACTTAAGCTCCGTTCGATAATCATTTAAGTTTTCATTCTTGGAAACGAATAGTAGACCATGTCGAATAAAACATACTGGAATGACTCGTATTGGTTTGTGAATATAGTTTTCATTCTTAGAAACAAGGTGGAAGTAACCAGATCATGTCGTAGAGGATGCAAAGGAATGTCAGTGTATAGATATTGAATCCAGATTCTGAATCGTAGGCATGAGGCGTTACATTTATAGTAAACTTTTCAACTTTTTTCTCGACACTGACACGAGAATTTTTATCACAATGGTATTCCACTAAAAATGACTTTCATCTTCCAAGACCCACGACTTTCTTGCTCTCTCTATCGTGTCATCGTCCCCTATCACATTATGATACTATAGGGTTTAAATATAAAATTTTCTACTTTTGATAGCATGTTAAATCACCAATGAATTCAAACGTTTAAGTGGATCGTTTATGAAATGTCGTTTATGTGGATGGTTTACGGTATGGGAATCCTATTCATGAGATAAATATTAAGTGGGACAGGAAAGACGAACCAGCGGAAGCCATATAAGAAACGGCAGCGTAAGCTCCTCTCTTAGTCATGGCGGAGGTAGCTTTCCGGTCATCATCTTCTCCATCCTTCTGCACCACTGGCAGCAGCGCCGTCTCAGCTCTCTCGGACGCCATGGCTTCTTAACTTCTTTTCTTGCTCCTCTGAAATGGCGTCTTTAAAGCGTTCAACACATGGGCTGTGGAATCCATGAATGCATGCATTTTATTTATCTTCCTTCCAATTTTGGGATATCTTTGTTCTTTGGTTAAATAAAAAAAATGGTATTTCCATATTTGCCCCTTTCAAAATTAAATTTAAATCATTTATCTATTTTGGAATTTCCATATTTTCCTTCGGAATATCTATTATTTATAATCAATAAATACTCTCTATAAAGTACTTTGTTCGAGGGGAGATGTTGGATGGAATCATTCCAACATATTTTGTCCTCACTCACTATTGTTGATATGAGTAGTGACTTTCAATTCTTTTGAATATTTCTTAATCATACTTGTTGGATGATGAAAGTCCCACATCGGCTAATTTAGAGAATGATCATGGGTTTATAAGTGAGAAATACTAACTTCA